GGGATGCCCTTACTCGATGGAAGCGGAATTTGCCCGACGCTCGTCGTGCATGAAGCCTTATAACCGGATGCCGGTCGTGTAAAAACCATATTACTCTAATTATCAAATTCAAATATCTTAATATTTGTATTTAGGGGTTCTTACTCGATGGAAGCGGAATTTGCCCGACGCTCGTCGTGCACGAAGCCTTATAACCGGATGCCGGTCGTGTAAAAACCGTATTACTCTAATTATAATAGTAGGAAATTCTTATATCGAACACATAGTGGTACTTTTAGGGTAATTATTCACGGAAATAAGATTTTCCGATACTTCCGGACAGCGGTAGTGTTTACAGCACTTGCAGTAGGAGTATGTTATGGATGAATAAATGCGAAAGGTCCGACCGCCTCCGACCCTCCGACCACCTCCGACCAATCAGAGGGGTCGGAGGTTGATCGCAATAATTGAAATTAGGACTAGGAGTTATGGGTATATCTGATAATATCCCTATACAAGTACATACAATATTCTATATCCAGAACGCTTAGGAGCGAGCTTAGGCTAGGGCCGAGCGTAGCGAACCAGGCCCGTTCGCCCGCGAGTCGACTCAATATAACAGGAATGATCTATCGAAAGGTTGGAAGCCCCCCTACTGTCCTAGTTATAACCCAAAATAGGATAATTCGGACACAGGTTATCTATAAATGACCACTTCACGGTCGGACCTTTCATGTTATTGGAAAATACCGGACATTCCAGCTGGTGAATGTATCCTGCCTTACGATTGGTAGAAAGGCGGCGAAAAAGAAGCCAATAGGGTTTGAGGGAAACCGCACTTGGAGCTCGACGAACCGAAGCCACTTTCGTGACAGCGAAGATGCGTATGTACAGCGGCTACGGATTAACACTGACTGAGATCCATGCTATAGTTTCTAACTTAGAGCATCTCCACCGTACACGGAATTTGACCCTGAAACTGAATATTACTCAGTGTCGATGATATTTTGACCCTGAATTTACCCCCACCCCAACACTGAATTCGACACTGAAACTGAGTTTCAGAACCCCAGACCCTGAGTCTTGACCATTCCACACGGAGTTTTCACTAAAAACTCCGAGTCGAGGTTTTGCGTCGAATTAATCTAATAACAAGACATTTGTATGGTATACAAACTAGTCTACACAAAATACTTTTCAATTGCTGGACGACGATGTCGTTGTGGATTAACGATATGGAGAACGAGTTACTGTCCAAGGCATGGGTAGCAGCGTCTGAGGATCCGATCAAGGGTAGTGGCCAAACCTTGACAACATTCTGGGACACAGTAACCCATCGTTTCAACGAGATCAAGCCAGAACGCCGCCCGCAACGCACGGCAAGGGCCCTCGAATCAAAGTTTGCAGACATCAAGCACGTTGTCAGCAAGTTCGTTCACTTGTTCATACATCCAAGTACAATACCTTCTAGCAAGTGGAACGAACATCGACGACGTCGAAGATGCGGCAAGAGCACTCTACTTCAAGACCACCACTTCCAAGACGGGCAGTGGACGCAATTTCAAGGACATGGGGTGTTGGCGAGTCCTGCGCGACAAGCCAAAATGCGAAGCGTATCGGGAAAACGGCTTCGGCATCAAGAAATCAACCAAGCATTCTAAATTGACTGGCGAAGACAATAATTTGGACGGCTCCAAATTGTTATCTTCGACAGTAAATTTGGAATCTTGGGAAGGCCGTCCGCAAGGAGCGAACGCAGCGAAGCGCAAACGTTGGATTACAGAGGACATGCCTTAAGCAAGTGTTGACATGGGTAGGCTCGCTGCTGCAATTGATCGCAAAGCAAATGCGCAATCCATCGTTTCGAATCTCCAATTGTTCACAACACCGACGGAAAACCTGACGCCTATGGCCCTTCGATTTTTAGAGCTACAGCAAGCTGAGGTAATTGCAGAGCTCGAATTGCGTGCTGCTAGTCGTATGCAAAAATCAGCTGATTCGCAATCAAACTAGAAACGTCTTCAACTAATTTAGTAAATTGATAATTGATTTGCTAATTGCAATGTTTAAAATTGATTTTTTCTCTTCAACTAATCTAGTAAGTTGATAATTGATTTCGTAATTGCAATTTTTAACAGGGTTCTTTTCTACATGTTACCACGCTCTGTCCACAAATGTTCGATGATGCTTTGACGCAGGAGATCATGTGTATCGGAGTCGACCATGGTTGAACGTTGATGCAAATAACCGTCGAAGGACAATGGCTGCTGAGGTCGACGGCGCTCCAGGTCGTTATCCCATTCCGATGCATTGGGGTGGTGCTCCATGGTGTTGTCGTCATCGATGATCATGTTGTGCAAACAAATGCAAGCAAGCCACACGACGCGCATGTGGCCACGACTCCACAATTGGCTGGGATTGGCCAGAATGTGAAACCGTCCAAACAAGACCCCAAAACAACGTTCGACATCCTTTCGAACACTTTCATGTCGTTCACAATAGTACTTTTCCTTCTTCGTTGAAGGACTGCTCAGACTTTTCTGAAACGTCGAGTGTGATGGATAAATTCCATCGGCCAAGAGATAAAACACGTCGAACGAAATCCCATTGACCTAATACACAAAATTGTACGATTAATGCAAGACAAAATATTAGAGACAAAACATGTATTTATTTGTAAATATTAGAGACAAAATATGTATTTATTTGTACGAGTAAAGCAACCAAAAATATCGAGCTAAAATGTACTTACCGAAAATCCTTCACTGGAAGTTGCAAGTTTAGCCAGTTTCACCATCAGCGTCGAACGGTCCAAAACGTTAATGTTGTTGTTGGACCCTGGAACCCCTAGAAACGCATGCCAAATCCACAGATCTTGCGTCGCAACCGCTTCCAATATCATACACCGCTTCCCGTTGCGGTCTTGATATTGGCCTTGCCAGGCAACAGGGCAGTTTTTCCACTTCCAGTGGGTGCAATCGATAGAACCCAACATCCCAGGGAACCCACGACTTTCGTTCAGGTTGAGATGTTTTTCGACGTCCTCTTCATTCGGCTCGCGCAGGTACACGGGGCCGAACTCTGAGACGACAGCCCTTGTAAAGCGCTTCATGGATTCGATGGTTGTTGATTCACCAAGGGGACAGTACTCGTCGGTCGAGTCAGCGCAGACGCCATACGCCAGCATACGAATGGACGCAGTGCACTTCTGTAATGGTGACAGACCTATATTATCTTTAAGCTCTATTTATATGTCATGCCATGCTTACCTAACTTTCCGAATGCGTCTGGTTTTTGGACAAAGTATGTATCCGCAGCAGCCACGGTATCCATGATCCGAATAAAGAGTGCTCAATTCATACGAAACCGGCGGCGGAACTGTCCTTCTGTGTACGTAGATGGTTTCCCGTTCTCTCCAAAGTAGTCGTCGACAATCTGCTGGTGCCCACCAGTCCGGTTTCGATCAATGTTTGGCTGACGACCGCGACGAGACCCGCTCCATGACCGTGAGTCTACAGATGCGGCTTGGCGGACGGCTTTTTGCGCTGCCGTACTTATGATGACATCGATTTCCTCGTCGGACGAATCCATCAGTTGATTCGACAACTGCATGAGTCGGTCATTCCAGCGCATATTGTGTGAACTTAGAAATGACCATACATATCTTATCTATTTATACTGTATTAATTTTCGCAGAATTGCGGTTAAAAAGTCAGTGTCACGATGCGAACGAATATCCTTCATACTCAAATTTATTGAATTCAGTGCAGAATATGACACTGAAAAGGACTCAGATCCAGGGTCAAAATCCGTGTTCCGGTGGAGATGCTCTTAGCTGTAACTGCTATGCTTTTACATCAAAATCAACACGGAAAATCTTGGTATATACGTGAAATACATGCGCAATCGTAGTTGTGGGACTTTCCGTAAGATACTTACAAACGTGGCGATCTGGATCTGGTCACCACGGCGGATCCGACCTTTTGGCGTTTTTTGGAGGAGTGGCTTGATCTTGACGAGAATGATTGCATTAAGTGTCCGTGGCGTGAGCTGGAGTTGGGTTTTCCGGTATTCGTAATCCGGTTTCGGTGGTGTACACGCGGTAGAGAAAGTCCATAGCAAAGCGCCACTCAGAAATCGGTTTCACTTGGCTTTTCGGGATGTGACCGGCCTTGATCAATCGGAAAGGCGGCATTCACATCCCCGCGTTGCCACACCACCATAACTGCCACGCCGTTGCGACGGCTACCGACGGGGTAGTGAAGTTGTCCAATAGTCGCTGTTGCCATGGGTTCCATTCGAAAGTGGGATAGTTGACAATGCGTGGAGGGGCCGCAGGCGCCGGAGACACTTCTGCGGAACTTGCAAGCGCCTGTACCATCGGTGCCACGACCTCAACGAACATCTCCTTGAGCAAACGCTGCGTCAAGTTGCCCGCTGCGACGCCCTTGGTCGCTGAGAGGACGCTATCGTGGGTAACTAGCCGCGCCACCATATCGACATCCGTGAAGACACGTGAGTAGAAGCTAGGGTGGCTCTTAGGAATTAGCATTTCCAGGGCCTGCGCCTCGTGGGCCAAGATTGAAAGACGCTATGCAAGGCTGGAACGCGGGACAAGCTGGGAATTATTTTGTTGATCGCCGATGAAACGTCGGAGTCAAGCGGCATCTTGAAGTGCGGCGGGAGGATGGCAAACGACGAGTCGTTAATCGGTAGGCCGGCCATTACCCGTCCGAGGAACTGGTCGCCGGCGCCTTCGTAGTGCATGTACCGCTCAAGAACATTCCCAAGGGACCAGCCGCACCGGAGGCAAACGCTGACGATTGACGGGCCACCCGTGCTTCCAGAACCTTTCGAATCGAGTGGGTGCCGTATTCCGAACGGCCACAGGTCGTGTCGGGGTGCGAGAGCAGCTTGGCTAGCTGCTTGCCGAACCGGTCTTTCTGGGCTGCGCCTGGGAACAGCTTGCCCATGGACAGTTGCGGGTGGCATGCAAGATAGATGGCGATGGCTCGAAAGACGCACGATCGGGCCTCCATCGGGTTGCTGTAGATGTGACGTGGATCTCGTCGCTTGGTGCCGCTCTGGTCAGTTTTCGACTTGCAAAAGACGATCCCAATAGCATCGGAGCGAACGCTGATGGATCATTTGCGTCGAGCGGCTGCGGCACATCAAGTTCCAAGTTAAAACAAGGAATAGATGGCTGAAACCACCGTCCATTAGACTTAAAGTGTACTGACATAAGACAACATATTGACTGTAGTCCACTGGCCGCTTGCCCACGACATCCATACCTACTTCTTGGGCTTCTAAAGAGCATTCGCGACGCATCCCTACGCCCAGAAATCATTAATTGTTGGCGGAGGAGATCACGGAACCTTTCAAGAACCCGATGGTTCTTTTGGCAAGTGCTTGGGGCACTTCAACACCCTCGCGTTCAAAGTAGTAGCGCATAGCCGACCGGTACCCACTGATCATGTCGACCCGGCACTTGGAGTGCTTGTACTTCCAAACGGTGATCATGTCGACCCGGCACTTGGAGTGCTTGTACTTCCAAACGGCAAAGTCCATGAAGTCCGAGTACTGGAAGTTGTTGAGGTCGAGTGAGCCGTCGTCCTTAAGGAGCTCGTATCGGGACTGACCCTTGACCCACTCGACGACTTGGTTCAGCTTGCTATTGTAGCAGATCTTGGTGCTCTCCGAAAGTTGGTTGTCGATGAGGCTGTCGAGCGTCGCGTGTTGCCGGTTCTCGTTCATCCCGGAGTCCATAGTCTTCGGACGTTCGAGGCGCGTGCACTGTCGAGAAATGAACCGGCGCGCATCACATAAAGAACACTATGCTGAAATTCCATGGATTATGGCCAATGAGGTTCAACCAGACCATTGGTCCGGTATTTTCCTCGAAACATTCTTCACGCTGGATTATCTTGGGAATTGTAAATAAGAATAAATCGTTCTTTGGAAAGTACAGGACAATCCGTCCGGCAAAACATCCGACTTCCAAGATACAGGTCCGGTAAAAGCGGGAGATTGGGGCTTATCCGTACTGTAACATGAAGGAACGGTACAACCGAAGTTTGAGATATAGAGTTGGGATAGGGACCCGCGTTGGAGATGCCAATGATGCCAAATCAGAACTCCACCGTGATTCAATATTGATTAGACAAACCACGCGAATTTTGGAAGTTTATAGCGAATTCACAATACACAAACTCGATATATTCTTCGAAGTAATGTAACAGTTGTAAATACATGTAACGTTCATCAAGATGCTGCTGGGCTATAGAGTGTGCTGGCAGGAATTAGGAATGACGCTTCGCGCATAAATCTTCGCTTGAGTAACTCGAAATAACTTCACAGATATTGTGGGTTCTACGCGAAATTTCCATCCTCGATTCGTTGAATCGAACTGTGGGGCGGTTTCAGAACCAGATATTGAATTGTCGTTGGAAAACGTAGTGCAACCTGCACTACAACGATACTTACAGCCAATCCCTGTTGAGATTGTTTTTGATTGGCTAGAATCCATGAATGCGACGGAAGAACCATTCCAACTTCAGGTCGCAGAGCAAGTCGGCCGAGTCATTCCACGTACTGCCAGTGTCTACGCACACTGGACCATCTACGAGCACAAGCACACACATCTAATGTACGATTGCCATTCCTCCTCCTCTGTAAATAATTCAACCTCCTCGTACACGTCAGAACATGGTCGTTGACTGGCTGCCTGCTCGCTGGTTCGAGCGTTTGCGCTTCATGAAGACCCGAGGCTTCTTGGAAGGCTCGAGTTGGTGGTGAAGACGGACCAGCGTCGTTATCTTGAGCTGCCCGTCACACCGCACACGTTTCGCTGATATTTCACCGCAGAGTTGGTCGAAAAGGCATCGTGCCGTGTCGATCGACGTAGAGACCTCTTGCTCCGAGGGGTTGAGGGCCATGTTCCGACCTGATACTCACACAAAAGGGTCCGTTAGTTTCTCTAGTTCAAATTACCACTCGTAAAACATGTTTCTCGCAGCTCGGGTGGCCAAATCTTGGGTATCAATCTTTTGATACGTCAAGACTTTTTCGCGAATATTTCCACGCCACCATAATTTCCATGCTGTTGCAGCATCGACACTAGGAAACACAAAATTATCGGGTAGCTAGTGCAATTTGCCACGCCAGTGAAATGGCTCATACACCAGAGTCTGTGAATCAATTGGCAGTTGTTGTGGGGGGATATGGCGCCATTTGACTGTTGGATGGACTACAAGGCACTGGCAATGGACGACTCTAGAACCGATCGTGTAATGTTGCCAGCTGCCACACCATGGTCTTCGACAGTACTCCGCACACCGTCCAAACTCTGGGCAGGCATGGATGTCAAAATCACCTCGTTTTTTTCCAATTTCCTGTACATTTCAACATAAGGAGGGATTCCGCTGGCACGCAAGCATGACGATGTTGAGCCCGATATCACAATGGTAGTAAGACTAGCAAACGGGCCTGGGTTCGTAAACGGACAGCAGGGCATGGTGAGGAGGCAAGGACCCAATCAAAAAAATTCGGTGATACACCAAACTCGCCAAAATGAGCTGTAAAATTGGAACCAGGTGGATTTCGGAGCAAAGAGATGGAAATATAATCTGGACAGCCAGGCCAAATACCAAGTCGTTACCACCCGAAAAATGTGGAGGCAGGACAGCAAAGTAGCTGTTCAGTGGTAGTCCAGCCACATATCGACCAGTGAACTGGTCACCAGCTGCCTCATACCGAAAGTACCTCTCCATGACATTTCCGAGGGTCCAGTCACACCGAAGGCACACATTGACAATTGATGGACCCCCGGTGCTGCCCGATGACACAAAAGTAGCAGCACCCTTCCGAATGGAGTGAGTCCCAATATCCTTCTTTGCTTTCGAGCTGCCCCCGCCAACCAACGCAGCAAGTGATTTCCAAAGCGATCCTAATTAACAGTAGTCGACAGCTGTGAGGGGGCTTCTGATAATATGTATCGATTATGAAAGGATTTTTCTCAGATTTTCACCTATTTTTATGCATAGAATGAAAAACACGTTTATTAGATATGGAACTTTATTACGTAATACGGTGAAAAATGACTCATGTTGAAACTTTGCAACATCGCTTTAGCGAGAATATCAACATTGAAGATGTGTTTAAATGCCCACTTTGTAGTTTGACCTGTGAGCTACAATGTTCATATTAACTGTTTATCGCTAGCATTTATGCAGCAATAATTATTCTCAAAGGCCCCCTCACAGCTGTCGACCACTGTAAATAATTTAACTTGATTTGAGTGTGACATGACTAATCCACCTTTTGATTTGAACCAGGGAACAAGCTGGTTGGGGACATCCTACTGTTGCAAGAAAGATCGAGCCCCAGAGCGACAAAGTTACATGTCGCCGGCTTGAGTAACAATGCTTTGGATCCTTGTTTTTCGTTCCTAATTAAGTATATGAAATCACGTTCCACAAACATATCATATACGAATTCCAACCTTCCTGGTTGGTCTTGGTTTTAAAGAATGTGAAACCAATGCTGTCATCCTCACACGTCATGTGATCGAACCTATATGCAAACATAACTATCCTGAGCATAACATAGTGTCATACCGGACTGTCTCTGTTGATTTCGAGCGACACTTAAAGGTTCCACGACAGAACCAGGAACAAATGCGCGAAGCCACCATCGCTGAGTGCCATGTTCTTTGCGCACAGCGACTCGAAAACATCAAACGTCATCGGACGCTTTCCTCGGTACACTTTTTCACCAGTTTGAAGCTCATGGGCCACGCTCTTTCGTAGTTCTATTACAATGGGCATAACTCAAAAGCTCAAAAATATTCAAATATGTAATACCCGAAGAAATCTCCTTGATGTTATCGCCATATTCCACTGGTAATTGTACATCTTGGTCCTTGTAAAGGCTCGGGATGACACTTCGATACCCGCTCATTGTTCCCACATCGACATCCTTGTTTTGAACTGTCCATTCTATGAAGGAGAGAAGGTGCTTGTAGGTGAAGTGATTCTGGTCCAGCGTCGTTCCATCTCGGCTCTGACTACATGGACCAAGAAGGTCGTGCAGTCCTGCCTGTGCAACCCATTTCTTGATTTGGTTGATTCCAGATGTGTATCCACTTCTCGTTTGTTGGGAGATGCGGTTTCGCCGAGTACTGGCTATGGTGAAGTCCTCCTGCCGAGGCATCGCAGTGGCGTCGTTTGGGATCCTTTGAATCGATTCAATTGGCCACATTCATTCGGTTTCTGGTAACATAGTGCAGTGTGCACTACGTTTTCTTCCTACATCGCCATATTATTTTTTCGAATTGTACAACTTAAATATTGCTGGCAGCACCAACAGACAATCTATTGACCAATTAAAACCCAGAACACTAATCAAGTGGCCAATCAATTTCACTCTTCCACCATTTCAACACTGAGTTAGTATGTGACTGAAATTAGTGTGATACTGAGCAACTTTATTCTGATTGGCTAATTTATCCGAAATCCGGATGCGTTCCACGAGCTATTTGCAGTACCGGTATGACATCAACGTGACTATGATAGCACATCAATCATACAACAATTCATATATTCGTATTTGACGAGATAAGAGTATCTAAGTGGTGCGACGAAATAGACAACTATAATAAACGGCTGGACTTACAGTTTACTTACAAATTGAAGATTAAACACACTATTGCTTTGAATCATGTGATGTCCCTTGTCGCCGTGCACCATAACTTTCTGTTTACCTCCAACGCATTCTGTGCAATCATCACCAACACGAAGGAAGCAACGCTCAGTGTTGCTTCCTAGAACCTTCCTGCAACACAACCGCGACCGCTCGCAACTGTCTTCCATGTCTGTCACAAAGTCCAAGTCGTACTGCTACTACGATGTCCTGCGGATCCCACGATCAGCCACGTAAGTGGACGAGCGAGTGGCATTTTACATTCTCACCGCGTGAAATTGCAGGCAACCTGAGATTGTCAAGGCGTACCGCTCGCTTGCGCTGAAATACCATCCCGACAAGTTGCAGAACCAGCCCAATGTCGACATCCAAGCTGCGACAGAGTACTTTCAACTGATTGTCAAAGGTGTGCATGTTCCCTGTACCCTTCACATTCACCTCTGAAGGTGCTTTCATGTCGGTACACAGCATACAACGTCCTCTCGGATTGCGACAAACGATCTGGCTACGATATTAACGGACCCAAGTTGAAGGTACATTGCATATTAACCTGTCAAGGCAACATGTCTTAGCTTTCTTCCTATAGCCAAGCTACGACTTGGAAATCAAGGCCAGCTTGGGAAAGTTGACCCCTCTCCTGACATGCGCGTTTGTGGGTTTTGTTGGTGGCGTCGCCGTGACCCAAACCAACGACATCAGTCTGGTTCTCTTCTTCGAGCTGTTCTTCTCGGCGTTGTGTGGGGCTGCCACGTGTCTACCAACCAAGGACACGCCGACGCCAGCCATGTCGTTGTCCGACTTTGCCGTCGTGGGAAGTATGGGTATAGGTCTGGGCAACGTCATAGGATTCCTCGGGTGGCATTCGACCGTGTATGTCGCTCAGTGTCTTGGGCTCCTATAAAACTGATCGTTGATCGATCATCATGCGAGACGTCGCCCTTTTAGTTGATTCCATCATGCGACACAACGGACAACATGCCTTCCGCCTAGTTTGCTCACGACCAACTCATAGTGTAGCGACAGTGTGTGTGTGTTGATTCACTTGGAGGTCGCCGCCAAGCCTTCCTTCGCTATCACGTGATGGAAATCAGTTGCATGAGTTTCAAGTGCACTCAAATTGGCAATAGAACTGCATCAATTCGAAATAGGCCAATCAAATCGCAAGCAAAATGAAATCTACCGGTAAGTAAAACCATCATACTAAGCGGTAATAACAGTAAAGTAAGCTGATATAATATACTAGTAGTTGTTAACGTAGATGGCCAATTTATGGTGCACTTGAAAGAGACCTCGTCGTAGAATGCAGCTTACTCACCGAGATTTCAATTTTGAAAAGTGCTGCATGAGGCCGAAAGGTTGGGCATTCTTCTGATTATTTACATTAATCGGTTTGACAGTGAATAGACAGAATTCACATTACAGTAGGGTTCATTTACTTCGATTTCCACTCACAGTCAAAGACGGATGATGGTGCACTAATTGCTACATAAACGTGAGCTATAAACAGTTAATATGAAAATTGTAGCGCATAGCCAAGCCAACGACATGGGCATTTACAGACTGTTAAAATTCCAGGATGTAAACACATCCTGAAAATTTGATATTTGCACTAACAGTTAAGCGATGCTGCAAAGTTTCAAAATGCGGCAATTTTCACCGTATGACTTTATAAATATCGACATGTAATAAACGCGTTTTACAATCGATCCATAAAAATAGGTAATGATATCAGAAAAATACTCTCATAATCGATACGTATTATCAGAAGCCCCCTCGAAGCAGTCGACTTACTGTACGCTTAACAGTAGTCGACAGCTGTGAGGGGGCTTCTGATAATATGTATCGATTATGAAAGGATTTTTCTCAGATTTTCACCTATTTTTATGCATAGAATGAAAAACACGTTTATTAGATATGGAACTTTATTACGTAATACGGTGAAAAATGACTCATGTTGAAACTTTGCAACATCGCTTTAGCGAGAATATCAACATTGAAGATGTGTTTAAATGCCCACTTTGTAATTTGGCCTGTGAGCTACAATGTTCATATTAACTGTTTATCGCTAGCATTTATGCAGCAATAATTATTCTCAAAGGCCCCCTCACAGCTGTCGACCACTGTAAAATATGTATACTGTTTGTGCTTATTATTTATTTTATTATATGGTTCGAGTGATTCGATTGGCTATTCCAAAAGGCAAGCAATTCTATTGGCGAATTTGAGTGCACCTTATACTGTCCAGTGGCAGTACTCCGCACTACTATTAACTTACAGTTAGTATTAATGGTGAGTACTTCGTAGTACTGTTATGCTGTAAGCTTACTACTAATAGTATGAATTGTACATAGCTCCTTAAAGCCGTGGAATGATGAATCCTGCAATTTATTTCGTGGTTTGATTGGACAAAAGAATATGTTTTCTATTCATCAGGATACACTTGTGTCCGGGGGCAATCGAAAACGAGCAATTGTCCTACAGGCTCATCCCCAAAAATTTATCGTCCAATCGCCGCGATGGGTTTCTGTCGTGCAACGTGCGACATTATCCGGATCTCACCTTTTAACCCCAGGATGGTTTCAAATAAAATATGTTGTGTTTGTATGGTATAATAAAATAAATGGTTATTAACCGGATATTGTATCTTCGAACACTAAAACTTCCATTGGATATTTGGACGTGACGAAGATGGCGGCGCTTAAACGCGCGGGAAGCAACTACTTCGTGCTCCAGAGCGACCAGAAGCGGTCCAATGGAGGACTCAAGCACTCGACGAGCTCTTTCAGCGACCGGCTGAACCAGATGGACATCCTCGGGGAAAGCGCGTACTACGTGATGGGCGACAACCCGAACGATCCGGATGTGTTCAACGCCCACGACCAAAGTGGCGGCGCGGAGGGCATCCTCGGCGGCTTTCTCGATGAAGGGTCGATCGATTATTGCTGTGACATCTTGTACCGCAAATTCGGGTTCCAACTCGGATCTGTCGACAACCAACGCGAACACGCGCTGCTGCTTCTCGCCAACGCCAAGTCCCGCGAGCGCATGAACGGCGGTATCGACCACGTGCTTCTCCTGCATCGAAAACTCGTGGCGAATTATGCTGAATGGTGCAAGTTCGTCGAGGCCGAGCCCGTGTGGTACGCCGGCGAGTTGAACAAGCGGCTGACGAACCGCCTGCACATGGAACTCATGCTGTACTTGTGCATATGGGGCGAGGCCGCGAATGTCCGCCACATGCCCGAGTGCATCTGCTACCTGTACCATCAAATGATGCTCCTCCTCAACGGCGATCTCCAGGTCGTGCAGCCGTTCCCAGAGCGATGGTACCTGGACGCGGTAATTCGGCCGATTTGGTCTGAATGCGCCGGCATGACCACGAAAGACGCGCTGGGCAAGCATCTCGAACACACGAAAGTGCGCAACTACGACGACTTCAACGAGTTCTTTTGGCGCGCGAGTTGCCTCGCGGTGCCAGTGGACCAGGCCGGCGCGCGCCTGCACACGCACCCGAAAACGTACTACGAGCATCGCAGCATCTTCACGCTCGTGCTCAACTACTACCGGATCTTCCACTTCAACTTTATGTTTCTGTTCCTGTTGGCCGTGCTGCAGTATTGTGTCACGATCTCTCCCCGCGGCGGCGAAAGCGGCTTGATGCAGTTCGCCGCGCTCGGCCAAGTCGTGACGCCGTACTCGACGACGGACCTCAAGCTGTCGCTCGTGTTTCTCGTGTTGGCTCATGCGTTGCTGAGTCTGTTCAAGGGATTGCTCGAACTGGCGCAGTCATGGCATCTCCTCAAGGCCGCATTCTCCTCTTCGACTTCGACTTCTTCTTCACTCCCTTCCCGGCTCTCGTACGGATCGGCCCTCGCCCTCCGTCTAGCATGGAACGGCACGTTCGCCGCGCTCTTTTACGTCATGATGGCGGAAGGGTCGGGGAGTGGTGTTCATCCGTGGCTCGATCGGTTCGCGGTGTTGGGGCCCGTGTTCCTAAGCCCGGGGGCGACGGCGCTTGTCGTGACCGCCGTCTCCCCCGCCGTCGTGCGCACGTCGTTCTGGAGCAAGTTTGTCCGCGAAGGCGACAGTTGCTACGTCGGCCGCAATATGACCCCCCCGTGGTCCTATCGGATCGTGTACATTGCGTTCTGGGTCGTACTGTGGCTGTGCAAGGCGGTCGTGTCGTACTGGGTGCTCATCTCACCGCTCATGCTGCCTTCATTGGCCATCTACGACATGCAACTCGACTACAAGACCCACGTCGTGTCGGTGCGCAACGCCGGCATCATATGTGCATTGTGGGCGCCCGTGTTTTTTGTGTTTTGCTACGACACGCAGATCTACTTTACGATATTCCAAGCCATTTACGGCGCCGTCAAGGGCATGCGCATGCACACGGGAGAGTACCATGGCTTTACCGACATTAGCCGCGCGTTTCGGATGATTCCGCAGCGATTCGACAGCAAAGTCGTCACGGCCTTGGCGGTACGAAATGATCTATTTTTGATACGTTTATAGCGACATTTGTTTGTTTTACCCAAATTGAATTTGGTTGACTTTTGTACTGATACTTTACCAAGTTACTATCAATATCGATGATCGATTCTTTGTCCTATCTACTTTTGTATGTTAAAATAATGGTCCAGTAACGTCAGACTAATTTCAGTCACACACGAATTCGATGTTGTTGCATTGGTTCAAGAGTTGATTTGATTGGCTACTGGATTCTTCATCTGGGTTTTGATTGGTCGATCGATGATCGTCTGCCGATTTGGTGATTCTGTTCATTCGATTGGGCATCCCACTCTAATTTCGAATATCGACTGGACAATATATATATATATATATATGGATGTGTGTGTATTCATTTCTTCGACTTTATGACATTGAACATATACAGTCGTAAGCGATCATTTGTACACTGTATGATGTACACGTGGGGTGTCCCTCGGAATAACGACTTGGTTCTTGTTTGCCAGACGATCGACCTGTAGAGCTGTTGTCGTATAGTTTGGACTTGAATATGACATATATATATATATTGCCTGTTTACCCAAAATATGGCGTTATGTGCAGATTCAACTCGTATCGATATATTCGTAGTATTAATACTTCTTGTATGTACAAACGTTGTACACATTGACAAGTCTCAGTGGATAATGGTTTGCTGCAATCTAATTGGCTAATAATTACGTCTTGCGATTCGTCTGTCGTACATTTTGGGTTGTATCGCTCGCTGCCTTGCATTCTCATAATAGTCTCCATCTTTCACGCCAGTTTCGAATCGATTGACAACAATATATAAATATATAAATATATAGGTGGCGCAAGACCACGTGCCAGACGAGGACGGCCACCGCCGATCCATGCTCATGGCGCGTTTTGTGGTCGTGTGGAACGAAGTGATCAACTTTTTCCGGGAAGGCGACTTGCTGGACGACAAGGAAGCCGCGATCTTTCAGTACGACGTGTCCGAGCTCACGGGCGAGATCTACGAACCAGTGTTCTTATCGGCGGGGAAAGTCCACCAAGCGATGGCGAGTGTGGCCAAGATACACCGCAAGAACCACCCGGGGCAGGATGCGGAATTGAGCGTGGAACTGCTGCTTCATGACTGCAATTCGGCGCTCAAGTCGTGCTTTAACGCTGTGCTGGTCGTGCTCGAGGCCATGCTGGGGCCGGCCGACGTGAGCATACTCGAAGCCTTCGACTTGATGGAGCAGCTGGCGACCCAGAACAAGTTTATCGCGTCGTTTCAGACCCAGCACCTTGTCGCAGTTTGTGCGTCGCTGGTCGAGTTCCTCGAAGCGGTGCTGGACCTGCCGCCGCCCGCCACCGCCGACTCGACCATGTCCCCCATGCAGTCCACCAAAGCGCACCCGATGCCCATCGTGCTCGAGTTTGTCAAGCGGTTTCATACGTTTCTGCATGCGACGACGTTGCTGTGCGCGGGCCAGCCCGTGATTCTCGAAAAGCTGGGCGCAAGTCACTTTTGCTCGCCCACAAACGGGTACATGGCGGCGGCCGAAGGGCTCGTGAACTTGTGCGCGAACGACGCGGCCATGTCCAATGCGACGCGCGCGCTGCTGCTGCTCACGCTCGACACGTCCGACGCGATGCCGCGGTGCTCGGAGGCCAAGCGCCGCCTCGGGTTCTTCATGAAGTCGCTCATGATGGACATCCCGCAGCTGTCGGCGGTCAAGGAGATGCGGTCGTTTTCGGTTATGACACCGTTTTACGCCGAGGGGGTGCTGTACTCGCTCGAGGAGCTCAACGCCCCGCTGGAGAATCACCCGATCTTTGGCGCGGTCGAAGAAGTGGGAAAAAACCTCACGATTCTCAAGTACTTGATCACAATCCACACGGCCGAGTGGGAAAATTTCCTCGGGCGCCTGGACGTCCAATCCGAAGCCGACGCGCGGCGCGACCACCCGCTCGAGCTGCGCTTGTGGGCATCGTACCGAGGGCAGACGCTGGCGCGGACCGTGCAGGGCATGATGCTGTACGAAGACGCCATCAAGATGCTGTACTGGCTCGAGATTGGGTCCGCCCCAGACAAATCCCAAGATCAAAAGCGTCAGCTGCTCGAGGATATGGTGTGCCTCAAGTTCTCCTACATTTGCGCTTGTCAAGTGTACGGTAAACACAAAGCGGAAGGCAAGGCGCAGGCCACCGACATGGACTACCTCTTGCGTACGTACCCCAACTTGCGCGTGGCTTTTGTCGACGAGGCCGTCGATGCCGCTAACGTCAAGACGTTCTCGTCCGTGCTGATCAAGAGCGAAGGCGACGACATTGTCGAAGTCTACAGGTATGACCTTCCAGGGAACCCCATTCTCGGTGAAGGCAAGCCGGAGAACCAGAACAATGCGCTGCCGTTCACCCGGGGCGAGTTTCTCCAAACGATCGACATGAACCAACAGCATTACTACGAGGAGTGTCTGAAGATGCCGAATCTGCTCGCGACCGCCGACATGCACCCGTCGGGCCAGCCCGTGAGCATCATCGGCATGCGCGAGCACATTTTTACCGGCAACGCATCGTCCTTGTCCAAGTTCAAATCGTGGCAAGAGCTTGTGTTTGTCACGCTGAGCCAACGAGTATTGGCGGACCCCCTGTACTGCCGCATGCATTATGGCCATCCAGATGTGTTTGATAAGGTCATGTGCCTCACGAGGGGCGGCGTGTCCAAAGCGTCCAAAGGCATCAACCTGAGCGAAGACGTGTTTGCTGGCTTCAATACAACCCTCCGCGGCGGCGTTGTGACCCACGTCGAGTTTATGCAGTGCGGCAAAGGACGCGACGTGGCGCTGTCTCAGATCTCCATGTTTGAAGGAAAGCTGGCCAACGGCGCCGGCGAGACGTGTCTGGCGCGGGAAGCTCACCGCATGGGCGCGTTCCTCGACTTTTTCCGACTGCACTCCATGTATTACTCGCACACGGGCTTTTACTTTGCCACGTGGCTCACGATCGTCACCGCGTTTGTGTTTATGTATACAAAGGTAAGCTATTCTTTCCAGTGTCAAGGACTACTGATGAGACATGGACTGACTTGGGCTTGGCTAACACTATATTGAGTTTTTCCATATGGAAAACTGACAGTTGAGACCCGATCGACAACTGGAAACGCTTTGGCATTCAGTTTACAGTGTCGAGTCAAAATACGTGGACTACTTTTGATTGGCTAAAATTGTATCAATAATTTTTTAAAATAGTTTTTCTTGGCTTTTTTTCTCACCCTATTTTTGGTCAATTTTTTTGGTTGACTTCATGGACAGATTAAATTCCACATTCACTTGTGAATTGTATCGAAGAAGAATCACTCACTGATTTGTATGTCCCCAAACATGAGCCCTCACTCGATGATATATATAATAATAATATATAATAATATATATATAATAGTATTTATATATATATATATAATAATATTTATATATATATAATAATATATATATATATTTGTGTGTAGGTGTACATTGCGTTGACGGGGGTACAAGAGCAGATTGTGTTTTCCATGAACACGACGACGCTGATATCTCAAAATTCAGACAAGGGCTTTGACGCGCGCGCGTTTCACAACTTGGACAACATCATCAACACGCAGTACTACATCCAAGCGGGGCTGTTCCTGACGCTTCCGCTGATCGCCGTCTACTTTACCGAAGCGGGGATCCGCCGCGGGTTTCTCCGTTTCTTTAACATGATCCTCACGGGCGGATGGGCGTTCTTTACGTTTCAAGTGGGCACAACGTCGCACTACTTTGACCTGAACATTGTGCACGGGTTTGCCAAGTACCAAGCGACGGGGCGTGGGTTCAAGATCACGCGGGAGACGTTTGTGCTTTTGTACAAGGCGTACTCGGGGTCGCATTACCGCAAAGCGATGGAACTGATGGGGTTGTGTGTGATTTACGGCACGTACGGGTTGTTTTCGATCTGCCAAAAGGCGGCCGTGTCCGAGGTCAACACGTTTGGGCAGCAGTTTTGCATCACGGCGCAGGGCTATGGAACGCAGACGTTTGCGATCTGGTTCATTTCGGCGCTGTGGCTGCTCTCGCCCTTCTTGTTCAACTCGGACGGGTTCGACTACGAAAAGACCAAAGTCGACAGTATCGCATGGGCCAAATGGATGTACGCGACGGCAGACGACAAGTCGGACCTGGACAAGGTCAACCATGGCGGATGGATCGGCTGGTGGCAGGGCGAAGTGGACCAGTACATTGGCGCCAAGGGCATCTCGAGAACCACCGTGATCGTCCGCGAGTGCCGACACTTGCTCGTTGCGTGGTATGTCATCACTTTGCGGTACAATCCGATCGTGTTGCTGTACACAAGCCTCGCCGTGGTGGCCACCCTCGGCATATTCCACGCATGTACGTACTTTAAAGGACTCGGCGCGTTGTCGTCGAGTGTGCGTGCGACAGTGTACTTGTTGACCGTGTCGCTGGTTCTGGCCTTGTACTTGGTGCTGACGATGGTCGTCTTGTCCAAGTCGGCGGGCGACGCGCTGGCCATCTTGTACGGGTACTTTGCGATACTGTACGCAGTCAACGAGATGGCGCGGGTATGTGCGTTTCCAACGTGGTCCATCTCGACCATCGGTATGTTTGAGCACTTGGCATTTCTGTTTGACTTTCTGTTTGGCGTGATGATGCTCGTGCCGCTCGTGGTGCTATCGGTCGTCCCGTTCATGAACATCATCCAGACACGGATGATGTACAACGAAGGCTTTTCCCAAGTCATGTCGGACTCGTCGCAGTATGCATTTTCTATTGCCGGCATGGTGGGGCTCGTCGGCGCCGGCGCGTGCGGCTGGCTCTACTACGTGCTCACAACCCTCGACTTTTCCGGTTCATTTCTCGCGTACACGACGCTGTACGACATCTCCATCGCCCCCACCGGGTCCACGGCGTACTATGTGATTGCCGGCGCCATGGGCGGGTCGTGGCTGTCGGCGGCGTGGGGGTTCTACTTTGGCCGACGCGCGACCATCTTCTGCGGCGGCGTGGTCGCGTTCGTGGCCATGTCGCTCGTGTCGGGCACGGCGTCCTTTGGCAAGGCAGTGTTTCTGCCGTCGCTCGTGCTCTTTGGGTGTGCGATCGGCCTCCTCTTGCCTGCGTTTTGCCTCTACTGCTACGAAATCTCGACCAGAGACATGCGCCCCAAGATCATGCTCGTGCTCGCGGTGGGGTTCATCTTGGGGTCGATGGCGGCCAGCTATTACACGCACAGCAACGCGCTTGTGTGGATGTGGCAGTGCTTTTGGTGCTTTCTCGTCCTGGCGTTCCTCACGCCCGTGATCATGCTGCTGCCCGAAAGCCCCTACTGGGTCCTCCACCGACTCGGGGCGGACGAAGCGGAAGCGTGCCTCGTGCTGCTGCGTCGCCGCACCGACGTGATGGTCGAGCTGACCGCGATGAAGGAAAGCCAAGCGTACCGCATTCCCATGTCCAGTTCAGTGTACAAGGCGGCTGTGGGGATGGGCTTGACTGTCGTACTGTCTCTGTCACTACTGCCGCTCAATATTTACGTGGCCCGGGTCGGGTTGGGGTACGGGCGGGCGCTCCTGCTGACCAACTGCCTCGCGGTGGAGTTTACATTTGCCTTGTTTTCATTTGTGTACATTGACAAGTTTGCGCACAAGATGGTGCTCATGGCCGCGCTGGTCGTGAGTGCGGTCGTGCTGGTGTTCGTCGCCAGCCAAGATCGCTTTCAGCTGTTTGGCCAGCCAGATCAAACTGCGCTTGTGGTGCTGTTTCTCGTGCTGTATGCGGTCAAGGGCATGGGGCTGCCTGCGACAATGTGGGTCGGTTTCATCGGGCTGTTCCGGACCCGCGGTCGGGTCGTGTCGATACCGATCTACTTTACCGCGTTCTTTGGAGCCCACGTCGGCACAACGTACATCCACCTGGCGTCGCCATCGACCCGCACGTCGGCGTCCAACGAGTTTGTGTGGCTGTACTGTCTCATGGGCGCCAGTGTGGTGTTGGTGGTTGGCCTATTTCGCCTTGCGAAACGATCCAATGGCATGCTGTGCACCGTCATGGAGATGAACCACGAGCGCGAGATGGACGAGGCCCGCCAACGTGCCCCAAGCCACCCGCGGCGCCGCGCCTACACGAGCAAGCAGGGCTCCCGTCGGTTTGGCAACCTGACGTTGTCCCCGCGCAACCACTCGGCAACGCCCCGAGGCAGAGCACACTCCCGCAAGGGAAGCGATATCGACACGCCGTACCAGCAAGTGACGGAAGCCGCCGTGTAGACGACGACATATTGACGACTTTATAGTGATATATATATATAGGTAGTGCACATAACTGGACCAATATAATGCGATTGTAAATAGTTTGGACTGCAAACGGTGCAGATACTCCCTACTAGTACAGCGACCGACGTCGTACGGGTCTTTCTTAATGTGCATAGTTCGTAATATACTAGAAACAACCACTACTACTAGTAAGTACTAGCACCTGCTGCTACTGTGTAGTACGTAGTACTCTGCTAGTATACTACTTACTATTAATATATTGCCTCAAGAACTAATAATCGCCTTGACGTGGGGTTAGTATGTTCGTGTGAGGATGGATGGGTACATACTGTACCAGTTAACTAGCATCCTACTTACTACATTGCTTACTATGGCTCGTACGCCGACGCGTCGAGGGAGCAGAGGTGGTCGGCCAAAATGGACAAGTCGGAGGTCGTGACGAGCTTGGCGAGGCTCGTGTGACCCACCCAGATGGACAGCCCCACCACCGGAAGCATCTGTTCGTGCTGGGCTTGCTGGAGCACCACCACGGCCGGCCCAACTGCCATGCCCCGGAACTTGGGGGCCGTGGCCTCGTCCAAATTGTCAAACAATGTGGAGCTGGTGATACCCACAAGTTGGTGAAACGCTGCCCAGCCCACCACCACTTTGCGTTTGCTCAAAAAAGGCACGAGTAGCTCCAGCCCGTCCTGCAAGCAGATCCACGTCATTAGTGTTGGACGGGTACGAGGAGTACTGTAGTAGTAGTAGTAGTAGTAGTAGTAGTAGTAGACTTCCAATGCCTTGGGTACTAGCTATTAATAGTAGCAGTAAACATCGAGACGTACTTGAGCAGGGCGGTAGCCTTTGAAATGGCTCGTGGAAAACTTCATAAACACTTTGACGCCCGTGCTGATGACCTACCCAACATATCATATTTATGCTGCGACAATATTTTTTCGTTTGAAAAACGAACAATCAATCTATCTCGACAATATCATGATATTATCCATAGAGTCGTCGTACTTTCAAGTCTGGACCGGCCAAACATGCGGCTTGGACGCTGGACGACACGTACGACACGATGCCCGTGCCATGCGACCGTGCAAACAACCGCTCCTATTCCCACAAATATACACCATGATTAGGATGAACGAGTGAGTTGAATTCTATGAATAGTCGAAGAATATTCAAATATATATTATGATTTAGCTACAACTTTCCCAAAATTTTTTGCAAAATTCGTAAAACCAATCACAAATCTCTTCGCCACGGAATGCATTGGCTTTCATGAATCCGCAGCCAGCACAAACGAACAAATAAAAATGTAGCCAATCCGAGACAATAATTTTTTAGATTGACCAATCGGAGCAATTCGTGATCGGTTGAATTCACGTGATGCGATTGAACAGGGGTCCGAAAATATTCGTACGAAATCAATAATATTATATAAAAAATAATATAAGATGACGCAGATAATGAGTATGTATGCCACATACCGACGGAAACGTATCGGGCAAGCCGTAAAAATCTTGCAGCGTGCCCCACACAGATGGCGGCAGGGCCTTGAGCACACCCGCCGACACTTCGTCCGCCGTAGCATTTTCGTGACTGGGGGCGTCCTCCTCGTGTGCTCCAGTGTACCCAGACTACATACGGTTGATGAACATATATATATATATACATATTGCAAGAAGAAGAAGTAGGACAACCAGACGTACTTCTGGACTCAAAGGTAGTGATGAGGCTGCGTTTAGAGCTGCTTTGTCCAAGCTCTTTTTCGATAAGGAGCAGTCTTGGATGTGGTGGCCCGGTTGGTTACACAACCGACACACATACCGGTAGCACTTTGGGCCGAGCTCGGAGTGCACTTCATACGCAGGCAACCCTATGTATATATATATGATATATATATATCTCCACGTGAAATACAACAATATATATGGAATCTTCAATGGCATCACAACATCACAATGACGGGGAAGGGTAGAATGATATTGACCTTGCTCGTCCGCGCCGGGCAGCGGCGCCACCTTTTCCAACACCGCAACAAAGAACCCGCCCGTGTTTTGATCGTGCGGGACGAATCGCAAGCATCGCTCCAAATGAACAACGTTGCCATCTTGTTCGTCGGGGGGGAACATGGACCGCGTGAGGCGGTACCCGCGCAAGTCGGCGGGAATGTCCTCTGAAAACGAACGATACCACGCCATGATGGGAGGCGTGTGGTCGTCGTTGGCCGTGACGTGGCGCTGCTTCTTGGCTTTGGTCTTTGACTGCCAGCCCACTTGCCACGTCGTGAGACCCTGCCGATGCTTTAGCCCGGGCAGCGCCACCTCGACGAGGCGGAGGGCGCCATCGCTGCGTCGGATGAGCTCTGCCACCACCTGAATATATACGTTCATGAGATGGAGAGGTCATGTTGATTCGGATTCAGGAGCGTAGTACATCCAGAAACGGGCACAAGAATATATATATATGTCTACAAGCACAATAATATATATATATATAATTACAAGCCAAAACAACAGTAAAAGTACATGCCATTGTGGACGAAATCACATAGTGCAACAACTTACATTTGTATATTTTGACCATACACTCGTACTACTTAGTCCACAAACTATTACTAGTACTACGTGGTCCACAAACTATTACTACTGCGTACAGTTAATAGTAGCAGTACAAGCAACATACACAAAACCAAGCAGCTTGTATATGATCGACAGTGGTTACGAAAAAAATATTTTTTTCAAGTCGTCGACAGACAGCCATGTAAATAAATAAATATATATATATATCTGCAAACCTACCGCTTCATTCTCGATGGGGTTGAACGAGCATGTAGAGTAGACCATCGTGCCGCCGACTTTGAGCAGCGCGGCGCCGCGCATGGCAATTTCGAGCTGGATTGGATGCAGCGTGAGGCCGTCGCCGACGTGCCAGTGGCGCCAAATGTTTTCATTTTTGCGCAGAGTGCCGTCGCCAGTGCAAGGCACGTCGCACAGCACGCGGTCAAAAGCGTTGGTCGTGTGCAAGTGCTGGGCTACGACATGTCGTTATGTCGAGGGATACGTAGGGCACCAAGTGTGTTTGGTATGTATTGGACGCACTTGTGGGGTCGTACAAGCCAGGGAAGTCTTGGCCTTGATGACACGTCACGACCGCCGAGAGCAGCCCTAGCCGCAACAGCTGATGGACCAGCATGTATCCGCGCTTTTCGCTGGCGTCGTTGGCCACGACAAATCCATCTTGTACGTCGGACACAGTCAGCGTTTCCAGAATTTGCGATGTTTTCGAACCGGGCGCGGCACACCTAATGAAACATGGAAATAATTTCATTGGTTGGTTTATACCGTGAAACCATATCGCATTGCACCACAGCCAAATTAGTACCAGTCGTCGTCGTCAATCAAATGGTGTCCATATCGAAAACGAAGCTCGCCACGACATTGAAACGCTATTTATTGGCTAAAAATACAACTTGAAGTGGCTCTGATTGGATGTTACTAAAAGGACAAGTATATGCAGCCAATCAGAAGTGTCAGCATGCGTGTCAATTTTGATGAGAAACGCACGCAACGTCGTGGAAGTTTACTGTGATTCACAACGTAGATATATATATATAATATTGTCAAATCAGCCGCCAAGAAGTCCAAGTTCAGCGAAAAAGACAATCAATATTAATACTCTAATACTGTAATACCAACTAGTGTGCATGCAATATATATATATCGGGACAAAGAACTCATACACGAGTCGTACATGTCGAGGACACGGTGGCCGGGACGGACGTCGAGGAAGAGTGTAGGGATCATGCTGACCGCTTCCTGGCGCGTGATGGCGCCGCTGGCGGTGTGGAGCACGAGGAATCGATGCAACGCCCCAAACAATTCGTTCTCGCGGCCTGGCACGCAAAGATGACGCATGGAGGGGCAGCACTGGACGTACCGAGCTTGGAAATGGCAGATTTGCCACATTCGACTTGCCATGCAGCGCCGCTGGCCGCGGGAAACCAGGGCAGTTCCCTGCAGAAGGATGACAAGCATAAGAAACAATGGACTATGTGCAAGAGTGCGATTACTGCGGCGGTGTCACCGGTTGGTCTTTGAACACGATGGAGCCACGCTCGAACTGGAATTCTGTTTGCAATGCCTCGTGGATGCTGCACGCCACACGTATGAGTCACATGGAAAAGGATGCAGGAAAGTAGGTGTACCTCGCGCGGTTGGGTGCATTGGGATTGATACGAAAGCAAGAAGGAAGAGGTTTACGCAACGTGTCGATCACGGCGTCCAGCTCGTCGTCATGAAAGACTTGTTGGGCCTGGTAGAGACGAAGTCAACGATGCTGCATGAGCGGGATGCACCCACCAGGTAGTACTGCGAGAAGCTCGTGTCTCGGAACGACGACATGGCTCTGCGTAGGATGATGAAGTGTCGACGACTTTGCAAGAGCTGCGTGGCCATTGGACGACTGCGCCCGATTGGTTGACGGCACTCTTATCCGGAAGTTGAAGTAGTTTTCCGGAAGTGCATGACAATTGTTATGAGTGAAGTTTTCGTTCAAGTATGTAATCACTCCTGCACTTGCAGTTCCATGGTGATTTGTCATTCTTTCCTGTACTGTACAGTAGTTGCTCTATTACTAGCAGCTGTAAATCAATAAACCACTCGGAGTCTTCGCATGTATTAGTCCATTATTTCAAGTTGATCTTACGCAGCGAAGCTAGAACTAGAACAAGCACCACGAAGTCGCGGGGTAGGAGCTGGGGTTGTCGTGCAAGGCAACAACGGAGACTTGTCGACAATATCTTCAACTTGGGCGACCGCAGACGATGACAAACCAGCGTCCGCCGCAGCATCCGAAGGAGTGGCACCGGCATCGACTGACGCAGCGACATCCGCCACTTGTTCTGGCGAGGCACCCGCATCGGCGGCTGCCGCAGCAGCCACGTCAGCAGCGGGCGCATGGTTGTCCGCCGAGTCTTCCACTTGGGCTTCCACAGCAGCAGCGGCAGCAGACGACAAACCCGCATCGGCAGCAGCATCCGAAGGCGACGCGCCAGCATCCACAGCAGTCACAATGTCCGCCACTTGCTGGGCAGACGCGCCCGCGTCAATGGCAGCCGCGGCAGCCACGTCGGCCGGGGGCGCCACGTTGTCCGACGACGACGAGACTTGGTCCACGATGTCAGCCACGGCAGCCGTGTCCAAACCGGCGTCGGCAGCGGCAGCTGCAGCAGAGGATCCAGCGTCCACCGATTCGGCCACGTCCGCAGCTTGAGATGCAGTCGCTCCGTTGTCGAGTGCGGCGGCGGCAGCGACGTCAGCAGGGTCAGACACCTTTTCGGCAGACTCAATCACTTCGCTGACGACGTCGGCCACGGCGGCAGGCTCGAGACCGGCTTCGGTGGCGGCAAGCGCAGCAGAGTCGCCGTTGTCCACGGCGGCCGCGATTTCCAACGCCTGGCTTGACGACGCACCGCTTTCGATGGCAGTCGCCGCGGCCACGTCAGCAGGGTCGGCGATTTCGTCCGAGGCGGACGTCACTTGGTCGATCACTTCGGCCGTTTGGGCGTCCGACAGACCGGCGTCCAACGCAGCCGAAGCCGCAGACGCACCGCTGTCAATGGCGTCCTTGATTTCTTCGACTTGGGCATCCGTGGCACCAACGTCCGCGGCGGCATCAGCAGCCACTTCGCCTTGCGAGGGGATGTCTTCGGACGCGGTGACCACTTCCGTGATCACTTCGACCGCTTGCGAGTTGGTCAAACCGGCATCGATGGACGCGGACGCAGCCGACGCGCCTTCGTTGTCGATCGCGTCGGCAATGTCTGCCGCTTGGTACTCCGTGGCTCCGGCGTCCACGGCAGCCGCCGCAGCAATTTCACCTTGGGTGGATTTGTCGGAGTTGTCTAATGTGCTTTCATAATCGTTGATGTCGCTGATTTGAACCACGGGCGTGTCATTTGATGCGGGAAGGGCGTCTTGAGCTTGTACTCGGGCAACAACAAACAGGAGACCAATCAATGCGACTTTGGAGAGTTTCATGGTGGCTAGTACAGAAAGACAGAATTGGATTGACGCACACAAAGATGTATACCGAAGATACCCGAATTGAAAATGAGCTTTCCATGAGTGCTTGAATTGCTCATGCACAAGATTTGCTACACTTGTGTGACCTTTGGCAACTGTTCGATTTGTTAGCCAATCGGAATTATTGGAAGGTCATTGGTCATCCAATCATATCGCTTCGTTCTGTCACCTGTACAGAAAGGTTGTATTGAACGAAAGGTTGTATATTGAAGTATCCATCGATGTGAATGATATCAACAACTTGCTAGTGATTTTAAATATAGAAGGGAGCACCTATGAAAGTCGAGGTTGTAGATGGGGGCGACATCACGTAGCCATCAATGTTTGGAGCGCAATAGGACTACTCCCGAGTTTCGACTAGGGACATTGCCTTCACTAGTATGTAGCTGGTGTCTCCATAGACAGGTTAACGAACACATCTACTAAAGTTAGATTCCCCTTAGACGTCAATTCCTTGATGGTTGTTTTTCAACTCTAGCAACAACTAGAAGTCGTTTCAATTATAGTGGTGTTCATCCACCACACAGGAGCCATACTTGGCCATGGACTTCACCATGCCTGCTTCAGTACAACTGAACGACGCCAGCTCCAACCATCACCACATCAACGGCATTGACTACAGCCGTCCTCGACGGTCTCGCTGGTTCCGACACAACTTAACCATGTGAGATTATTCAAGCTGCTTGCCCTTTTGAAGTGGCAAACAAGTTGCTTGAGCGTTAGATAGTCGAATTTAGCTGCGCGTTTGCTTGGCGATGGCGGCTCAACTGTAAGCTTCACATTTCGGCAATGTGTGTCTGTTTTTAGTGTCACTATAAATCAACCAAATAAAAGCAACCTTGAACAAAGCATATACACCGCAGTAGTATAAACATGAATATATTTCAACTATTTGGCATGTCTGTCAACAATCACACCACACAACCTCAATCTGTGTGACCAACCAGCGAGCGGACACGACTCGATCGAAAATCGGATTTCACTTCGCACAAGCAAGCACACACGCTAAACAGACGTCCGACGCCACACCGCGCATCTTGATGAGAACTCTGGTCGCAGGTGGTTGTAATACGATTCAACAAGTCATTTTGTTGCACAGTGGGTGTTCTAACGTGGGGTTGCTTGCATGACCTGGTCCAGGTCGCACGCAGGTCACGAAGTACGGGGGTTGTCGATATAGACTAGTGGACTTCGTTCCAGTCATCCGTCGGTCCATCCTCAAGCAAAATGATCGGTCAGAAGGGTGATTCTTCATGTCAGAAAACTGGATTCAAACCGGCGGTGGAAATGAATGAATGCTTACTCCGAGTACATTGCTGTAGCGGTTTGTTCTAACGTTACAGGACCGGACTTTTATGCTCCCAAAATGCCGTGGAAGTGCAGGAAGCTTAAGTAGGATTGACCTACTGCGGACGGGCCACTGATGTGTTGTTCAGAGCAGGAACTGCGACCTCATCCTCGCACGGCGGGGCGGCAGAGATACAGTAGTCAGCCAGAATGGGGGTTCCATGCAGCTATACACATGGCATGATTGTTTGCATCAAAAACGTGGGAGCAGGACGGAATACGCAATATAATGTAATACTAATACATATTCTATTCTGTAGAAAGTACGACCAACATTTAACATTGTATTTGTATTGTTTTATATGTGAATATAATTCGTCGAGTGTTTTGATTCGCCCCTCCCGTTTACGATCGCTGAGCAAGGCTGCACAAACTGTCATTTTCAAATTTGAAGGGATATCGCATGCCGCCAACGCCGTTGTCGTTCCATGATGCTGCCACAAGCCGCTTCCAGTCTAGCAGAGCACCCGCAAAGAGTCTAGACGAAGCGTCGATCAGCGTCGCCGAACGTGCCAAGCTTGTCCGCCAGCATGGATACCTCCTGAAGAAGACGCTGTTTCGCGGTCTTCGCGCACAATACTACAGCATCAACTGTTACAGCGCCAAGCTGCATTGCTTCGCAGATTACAATGACTACAACATGTGGAACAGTCAAGGTCAGCCGCAAGACTCATTGTCGTCCAATTCGCCTGGCGGCAAGAAAGTCGTGACACCGTTGCGCAAGCACCACATCTTGGCGGTCGACGAGGACACATCCACCAAATGGAAACTCGTCCTCACCATTCGAAAGACCAATTCGATGAGCGGGAAAACGGACAAGATGGTGCTGATCGCCGAGTCCGCAGACGAATTTTCAGACTGGATTGATGCCTTCCACGACGTGTTGCAGTGCACGTCTTTCCGGGAGCGGTCGTCCCATGCCAAGAGCTGGGTCGAAAGCATAACGGCAAGCGCAAGGCACTCACTGTTCCGACCGCTACAGCAGGTAGACGGATCGTCCCGCTCGTACTGCGCACCGAATACACCCACCGGCGTGTCGTCGCCGCTCACCTCGCGATCCTCCCGGCACCGCCACGCTGGGCCTTCGCTCTCAGCATCCACTCCTCCATCCCACGACCACCCGTTCTCATCGTCCAAAACCCTTCCATTGCAACAACGGAACATTGTCCTCTTGGGTGCCGCGAATGGATCGACGATGCACGTGTCCGAAAGCAAACTTGCGCGCGCCAAGTACGAACTGGACCAACTGCTCGCCGAACCGGGCACCGTCCGGCCGTACCGCGGTCTCGTCGAGGTACTTTGTACTATTGCGTCACCCTTCATCGCACACATGTTTTTTGCCTTGGCATTCACATTGTATTATAGGATGATTCTACCTGCAGCGTGCACCCGTTGCTACCCATCGACGACTCGACGGAGTGGCTCCACGGTCGACCCGACTACACGTTGACCGACCTGGCGTACCTCAAGGGTCGGAGTCGCTTCCACGACCCGCACTCGGTCGCTACCACGTTGGAAACCGCGTTGCGCATCTTCGTCATGGACGTCGCGCACAAGCCGATAGTGAGTCAGTGGCAATCGATCACATTGCCGACGTTTCGGTTCCAGTGCAACGAGAACGCGCCATTGTGCGGTCCGGAAGCCTTGGCCGGCCTCCGCCATTCTCTGCTCGGCCTCGTCGCGACGTCGTCCATGGATCGCGTGGCCGACGTCTTTGGCGCCGGGTGTCCGCTAGAGGTGCTGCATGTGTACACCACGAGCCCGAGCTTTTACTTTGCATGGAGGCAGTGGGGAGCGTTCACCGGCACGTTCGACGGCCGCCGCGGCAACGGCGACATCGTCCAAGTAACTGGGTTTGGACACATGCTGCTCGACATGGAGGGCTGCCATATGCACTCGTTGCACCTGTTTTGCCACGACAATGCGCTCGAACATGCCCTTCAAAGCATTTGCGCCGTGTCGTCGACGTAAGCCCAGTGGTGCCACCACTATATTTAAATGCACACTAACAACGACTGCAATGTGCACTGACTGTATCGCAGTTATCACTAACAACGACTGCAATGTGTACTGACTGTATCGCAGTTATCATGGCAAAACGTGGCAAATTCATTCGTATGGCAAATGATTGAACTAGGGCGTACATACTACCGTAGCAACGTCCAAGTCTTCATAGTGCGATCATCCTGTTGCTTCGCTCTTTTGTAATATACTAGTATCGGATACCAGTCTTTTTGGCAGAAGCCCTCTCCTTTCTCCTACCACTGTATCGCATTCACACCACAACAGTACTAGTACAGCTGAAATACTACTACGTAGTAGTAACGTTAGTTGATTAAATTGGGGGGTTATGGTAGATTCGGTACAAATTTCCACCCGTGAATCGAATCGACGCTCTATTCACATTAGTATTGGCTAATACAATTTTGAGTGGATTTGATTGGCTTTTACAAAAACTGTCAAGTATATTCAACCAATCAGAACTCCAGCGTGATGATTCCATATTCATTCGCGAATTTTGGCAGTTTATAGACACAATATTGTGGATTCGATACGAATTTCCAGACCCCGTCGAATCGAATCTCGCCGCCGAATCGAATCAGGAATCGACGCTATTGGCTAATCCATTTTTTAGTGGATTTGATTGGCTGCTCTTGCAGAAAGTATATTCAACCAATCAGAACTCTAGAGTGATGATTCCATATCGATTCGCGAATTTTGGAAGTTTATATAGACACAATTCAACGGACAACATTTAAGATATACGAACGACGTGCATGATAAGTAATTCTATTCGGACACGGGCACGTAGGTCAAGTCGCCGCAGTTGACAAACTGGTCGGTGGACGTGCCTTGGTGCGGTGCCAACGGGTTGATGCCTGAGAACTCGATGAACTGGTTCATTGTGCGCTTGGTACCGACCATAAACTTGTCCATGTCGGTCTTGTCGTAGTCGTCGCTGGACGTCGGGAGGCCCAACTGCGCACGGATGCGGCGCTTGGCTGGCTGCTGGAGCTTCCACTTGCGTCCCCAGTCTTCGTCCCAGATGTACTTGCGCACTTCAAACCAGTGGTACACGACCATGTGTGTGGGGTAGTACATGTCGTACCCGTGGGTGAATAGCCTCGCGGCCTTGGAGTACTCTTCCCCGTGAAAGAGGTATGGCGTGTACGGGTCGTTGCGAATGTGCAATGCGCACGAAGCTGTGGAAAAGCTAAACCCGCCGGCGAACTGGGACATCAACGTCGGCACGTTGGGGGACACGACCGTGGTGGCGGCGCCGTACTGGATCATCGAGTCGGCGTCTTCCGTTTCAATGCGGCCATGACACATCTTTGCCGTGGTGCCCGTGAGCTTTCCATCCTTGGGCATGCTTGTGGTCGGGTCGGGGTACACCGTGATAACAGCCTTGGGGTTCTGGATCGACTCCCATTGCGCGATCAGGTCCGTGTCCCAATGCTGAATGAACAGAATATGCGAATCGATCGCCAACACGAACGCATCCTGCTTCAAATCGATGCCTTCTTCGGTCTGGTACCGAGCATAGGTCGGTCCAAGCGCCTTGTTCGCGTCCAGCGTGTCGTTGCGGCGCAAGCGCTGGCGGCGATGGCAGTTGGCCTCACCAACTTTCGTGCAGTAGACATCCATGCATCGCTGTTCGTCCAAGTCGAAGCGCAGCTGGTCGAAAATGCTCACTGTGATCAATGTTGGGTTCTTGGCCATCGAGAAAATGGCGTCCACCGTCTCGGCGCAGCGTGTCGAGTCCCGGTAATTGGAGATCAATACGACAATGCGACGCTTGTTCAAATCGATTGTGGTTGATGGAGGGGACGTCGATGTGGTGGTCGTGGTGGATCGAGTCGTCGCCACTGCTGTCAGACCTTCCTGCCGAATGTTGTGCTTTTCCAGGTCCTTGTACATGTCGCTCGCCGCCCGTTCGCTGCCCAAGAAGGACACGTTTACGTACACCATTAGCCCCATCACAGCGACAAGGCACACAACGATGACGATCTGGGGAAGCGACCGTCCCGCATGTGGCCGACGATTCTGCATGTCGAAAGTTCAAATGCCCGACTGGTGCAACAATGACAGACCGCACGTGGCACACGAGCAAACCGGGCTATCCGGATCCGCATAAATGGACACGAACGTTGAACCTGCGGCTTGAATGCGTTTGGCCCAGAAGGCGATAAATGGACAATTCACGCTGATTGAAGAATGAAAGTTGTGGTCATAACCACTAAGCCTGCATATAGATGCTTAAAGGACGAAGGAGTTCTGCTTCTTGGGAACTGGAATGTGCATGCATTTACCAAACATTACGCCAGTTGCTCAGTCGTCGGATACTGGGACATACTCGAGGTCCTTGCAGTTGTTGAACTGGTTTTCGACTTTGTCCCCAGGGTACGTGGCCAATGGGTTGATGCCTGAGAACTCGATGAACTGGTTCATTGTGCGCTTGGTACCGACCATAAACTTGTCCATGTCGGTCTTGTCGTAGTCGTCGCTGGACGTCGGGAGGCCCAACTGCGCACGGATGCGGCGCTTGGCTGGCTGCTGGAGCTTCCACTTGCGTCCCCAGTCTTCGTCCCACACGTACTTGCGCACTTCAAACCAGTGGTACACAACCATGTGTGTGGGGTAGTACATGTCGTACCCGTGGGTGAATAACCTCGCGGCCTTGGAGTACTCTTCGCCGTGAAAGAGGTATGGCGTGTACGGGTCGTTGCGAATATGGAGCGCGCATTCCACCGTCTGGAAGCTAAACCCGCCGGCGAACTGGGACATCAACGTCGGCACCTTGGGCGAATTGATCGTCGTGGCAGGGCCGTACTGGATCATGGCGTCCGCGCCGTCCGTTTCAATGCGGCCATGACACATCTTTGCCGTGGTGCCCGTGAGTTTGCCGTCTTTGGGCAGGCCTTCGGTCGGGTCGGGGTACACCGTGATAACAGCCTTGGGGTTGTTGATTGAATCCCATTGCGCGATCAGGTCCGTGTCCCAGTGCTTGATGAACACCAGGTGCGAATCGATGGTCAATGCAAAGGTGTCCTTGGTCGCGTCCGCCCCATGTTCAGTTTGGTACCGCGCAAACGTTGGCCCGATGGCCTTGTTGGCGTCGATGGTGTCGTTGCGGCGGAGGCGAATAGGGCGCTGACACTTTGTTTCGCCGACTTTCGCACAGTAGACGTCCATGCACCGTTGTTCGTTCAGGTCAAACCGGAGTTGGTCGAAGATGCTCACGGAAATCAAGTCTGGGTGCTCCGCCATGGTGAAGAGCGAATCCAGCGTTTCTGCGCAACGCGTGGAGTCGCGGTAGTTGGCGATAAGGACTACAATGCGTCGCTGCTTGATTTCTTTTGTGGTGGCAGGACTGCCATCGTTTCCTCGACGGATATTTGGACTCCCTTCTCGCTCGTTCAATTCTTGAACGTCACGTTGGTTGATCGCAAGCAAAGACAGGTTCATGTATACCATCATGCCCACGACAAGAAGGAGCGCCCCGGCGATGAAGTACTTTGGATTCCACCATCTAGAGGACGTTGGTCGTCGTGCCTGCATCGTCGTCACTTCCGTCGCGACTTGGGAAATCTGACACGTAGAATCATCATCCGGTTATCACGTAAGCTAATACTTCGAAGTATATCCGATTCAGGGCCAGTTCGAAGTATTGTATATGTATAGATTGACCAAAAGGCGTGCGAAGTACCACGTACCGGTAGTACTGATCAACTACTATGTACTACTACTACGTCTGTTTTGCAATTATTGCAAATAGGATAATTCTAGATCTCTGATTGGCAAACGGATGGGTGTGTTGCGTTCCTATTGGTCAGACGAATCCATGTGTATTTTTTCTCGAATTATATATTCGGATACCACAATTTCCTATTCAAATGTATCAGACAGAAAATATTTTTGTGATATATTTTGAAATAAATTCAATTTTCAGTTAAATTATTCCTAAATAGAGGACATTCATTGGCTAGATTTGAGAAAATATTGCATTTGCCAAAACATCGTCTCAGTCCACCTAGGACTTCATCAGTTAGTTTCGCATGCATGCAACCACAACCATTAATGGGTATTTAGAAGGACTTCGACGTCTCATAGTGCGCTATTACAATTCATTTATCGTGATATAGCGTTAGGATTTCAAGTTCATTGAGCACAAGCATGGAAGCAATGAAGGCTGAAGCTGCAGTGAAAGTGTGCACCTATCAGTATACCATATGGTACTGCGTATTAGTACACAGTGCTGTAGTACAGTACTGTAATCTAATGTTACAGTAACCTGAGTGTTTGTGTTGAGAATTTATTTTTACAGCCGGCTTTAATGTCTCCTCCAATCCACAGGTCAGATGTACTAGATAAGGTAATTCTAATCCCACTTGGAAAACATACAGTGCTCCGAGCAACTTTTCTTGAGCCCTCCGGGACTTCGTCCTACCCCGAAGTGACCACGTGTGGTGCTTTGTCCCGGGGTTTGAGTAGCAAGACGACGTTCAGGCTAAGTCGAGTTTGCCAATGCCGACCAAGGTGTAGGATGCGTCGTTCGCTTTGGACGTGGTCGGGCCTTGAATGATCGAAAATTCTCAGCACCACCTGCTCGAGAAAGGTGGCTGACATAACCAACGAGTCGAGGGTTGTTTCCGCACCAATTGCAACTCACAAACCCCTCGTGGGAAGGAGTGTGGTTACGGACACCACCATTCATTATACTGTAGTACCTTGTATACCGGTACGAAATTATTTTATCAAGTGCCGGTACACTAGTACTACGTAGTACAACCGGTACAGTACTTCTGATCTGTGGATTGGAGACTTTTTAGGCAGGCCTCTTCTCGTTTGTTCTTCATGTGTTTTATGTGTTCGAAATTATCCGTACATAAACGGATGCTTATCCGAATTACTACATGTATAATAATAACTTGTATATATTTATAATTCAAGCAATCCTTGTTTTAGTTACATATAGAAATATATAGCCCGTGTAAACCAATACCTTGTGAATATAAATATATCAATGGCGGACTTGTCTACACTGCCACGGGGCAAAAGGGCGGGGATTGTGGTTGATATTTCTCGGGCATGCAGCAGCAACAAGGGCGGCAGCGGTCCAAGCGACGGCATGCGCCGGGTTGGCTTGATCCGATGAATGTTCTGATTGCTTCACTTGTGGTGGTGATGTGTCTGATGGTGTACATGAACGTTGTCATGCTGGGCATGAACCAAGACGAATCCAACTCGGCGCATCTCAAGAAGTTATCGCAAAACTTCAGAAAGGCCGAGTCGGTGGTATCAACGGCAAATCCGAACAAAGATCCGACGAACCGCCGCCTCGTGGTCTTGATCGCCAACTACCGCGACTCAAAGCGATGTGGGGAAACTGTAGACTCGATCTTCTCCAAGGCATCCCGTCCAGACCTCATCACCGTGAGCATTTTCGACCAACTCAACTTCGACGAAGACGAACAGCGTTGTTTCGATGTATATTGCAGTATCGTGGGCGAAGTGGCATGTCGTCGTAACGAACGGCTTCGTCGAAACGACACCGTGAGCTACACGGACGCAAAAGGACCCACATACGGCCGGTACCAGACCGAAGAAGGTGTCGACTTGACCATTGACACGTTTGCGATGTCAATCGATTCCCACTTGATTTTCATCCCCGACTGGGACTCGGATTTGGTGTCGCAGTGGGACTCCATCAACAACCCCAAGGCGATCATCACTGTGTACCCTGACTCGACCGAGCTATACCCGAAGCCCGGCGACGTCCAAAAGGTGGTGACGATGATGTGTCATGCGCGCATCGAGAGTGACACAGACGACGCCATGGTCCAGTACAGTTCCGCCATCGACGTGCCATGTCCCCCGACCCCACGCTTGATGTCCCAATTTGCCGGAGGGTTCAATTTCGGAACGGCCGAGTCGGCGCTGGAAGTCCGCAATGACCCGTACACGCCCTTCTTGTTCCACGGTGAAGAGTACTCTCGTGTGGCGCGGCTGTTTACACACGGCTACGACACGTACATTCCCACGCATATGGTGTGTTACCACTGGTACGAAAAGCGAAAGGGCATGTGGGACGACGACTGGGCTGCACGGACGTTGCTGGCGCAGCGATCTCAACGGCGCATCAAAGCAGCACTGGGTCTCAAACCCTCCTCCGACGACTACGACAAGACGGACCTGGCCAAGTTTTCACTCGGCACAAAGCGGACGCTTGAGCAGTTCAAAGTGTTTTCAGGAATCGACCCTGATGCCAAATGGATTGAAAACAACGAGCACCAATTTGACGTGTGTCCACCCAAGGAGCTGCACTACGTCCCCTACGTTGGCAGTGCTGTGGAACAACCAGCCTTGCCCGCATCTACGCAACCAGTTACCACGGCTCCACCGCCGCTCGCGCGAGACCCCAACCGCCGTCGCACCATTGTGCTGATTGCCAATTACCGCGACTCAAAGCGCTGTGGGGAAACGTTGGAGTCCATTTTCACCAAGGCTGCGCATCCCGACTTGGTGGCCGTGAGTATCTTCGACCAGCTCAACTTTGAAGAGAACGAGTTGCCGTGCTTTGACTCGTATTGCCAGCTCGTGGGCGAAGACCAGTGCCGTCGAAGCGACCGGCTTCGTCGCAATTCGTCCATCGGTTACATGGACGC